GATGTTTAACACAGCAGCAGAAAGCAAACTAAAACATTTAGCAGTCACTAAGACCTGTGTTTTGCCTTCACTTAAATACACATCATGTTCCTTACACCTCTGTGACCTATGCAGTGCTGGGAATGGACCAGAGCCATCTATGTGCTACGCAAGCATCTTGCCCCACTGCTACTTCACCAATGCTAAGCCTTTGCTCATGGTATTTTCTTTTTTTAATATTTATTCATTTAGGATACAGTATTCTGTTTTGCATATATGTCTGCAGGCTATAAGAGGACACCAGACCTCATTACAGATGGTTTTGAGCCACCATGTGGTTGCTGGGAATCAAACTCGGGTCCTTTAGAAGAGCACTCAATGCTCTTAACCGCTGAGCCATCTCTCCAGCCCTTAGCATTTTCTTTATCTAGAATGTCCTGTCTTTAATTCTGTCCTTCCAAGACCGGCTCAATGAAAACTTGCATCATGCTCTTGGGCAGTTGAGCATCCCTTCTTTGGGATTCCCATAGCATTTGGTGGGTTATATCATACTTTCTACCTAATCCCGCTTCCTTTTCTGTATTGCAGTCTGACCTTCTTTAATGGCAGGAGCTACCGTTTGATGATCATTTGTCTGAGGTGCCAAGACAGTGCTTGCCACGTAGATATTCAACAACTATTTGCAAAATGAAAACATTACCAAGTGAAAAGGAAAATCACACGGCAGTGTTTAAAGAATGCTTTCCAGCTAGTCTAAGAGACATTGCAAGGCAGGGTATGATTAATTGCTTATGAATCTTACATCAGTAATTGCTACTGAAATCAGAGGAGGCATCTTATTCATCTTTGTATATATTTTGAAGCACCTAGCACAGAGACTGGCTCGTAGTGGAGGCTCAGCAAAGGTTCCATGAATGGATAATCACTGGCTTTGAATGGAGTGATGATGGGCAATTGAAGAGCAAGCAGCATGAGCACCACATTGAGATGGATGCGTAGTTTCTTAAACATCCATCATCACCAACCTTTTAGCCTCCCCAGATTTGGGGCATGAGCATTTGCTGGGTTTTGTGGGGGAGCACTAAGTTGGCAAATGGTTGGAGGTGGAAAGAACACAGAAAAAAAATATGAAGTAATCATTTGGGGAGGGTAAATTTAAAATTAGGAACCCTTACAATAGGCAGGGCATATTTAAAAAAAAATGAACAGTACAAGAAGGGCAGTGGGGGCACATGCTTTTAATCCCTGTACTCGGGAGGCAGAGGCAGGTGGATCTCCATGAATTTGAAGCCAGCCTGATCTACAAATCAAGTTCCAGTCAGGCTATTACACAAAGAAACCCTATCTGGAAAACCAGAACAAAGGAGGGAATCAACTCCCACAAATTGTCCTCTGACCTCCACAACTGTGCTGTGGTACAGACCAACACCCCCCACCCAAAGCCCTCACAAATGAAAAAGAAACAAAAACAAAACAAAACTTTAGTTTGGAGACTGAAGAGCAATTCAGGCATTAGTTTCCTTGTGTTGCTCATAGGATTTGGGTTTTGTTGCTGGTTTTTGTTTGGTTTGAGTTCTTCAAGATAAGAGTCTCAATGCGGTGCATACTAGCCTTGAGCTCACTATGTAGCCCAGGCTGGCCTCAAACTCAATCCTTCTGCCTCTGCTTCTGGGATACTGAGATTGTAGAGACTCAGTATCACATTCTGCCTTCACTCAGTTGTTGTTGTTTAATTAATTAATGTATTAAAAATGATAAAGGGTAAGAAACAGTGGCTGTCACAAAACATAAATAAAGCTCCTGGGAGGGTTGCTCAGTTGTAGACAAGCACAAGGGAAGAAGGCCCTGGGTTCGATCCCATCTCCTTGCCTTCTTTCCCCCCCACACACACACACAAAGATCCTGGCTCCGTAAGTGGTGGTGACTCCTTTAGGCTGCCTCCATGCTTCAGAAGGGGTCCTACCTTGGCCTTGGTCTTTCAGACTTGAGGTGACCTGGAGCATTACTGCATGCCTAGGTCTCTGCTTCAGAGGTGATGCAACACAGAGCCGCGAAGCCATGACGTGAGCTCCTCCAGCGGGCAGCTAAAATAAAAGCCAGGCTTCCTGCCTGCCAAATGAAGATTTGCATCCTTAGACCACGCCCACTCCCATGGCGTAGAAAGACAAAGCTGTCTTCTATTCTGTGGACTAAATGAGCTTTGGCAGGCTAGCCCAGGAACCTTTCTTTTTCTGTGAGAAAATGAATTCCAAGTTGTGCCTGAGAATTGTAAACCCATCATACACCCTCCTACTCATCTTCTCCCTACCCTGGGAAGCCTGGTGTCTGGCCAGCAGGAATGAATGAAGACCATTTCATGTTCTTAATAACTTGCTTGGAAACAAAAAAAACAATTTACATACGCACCCAAATATTTTACAGGCAGAGTCCTTCAATTTTGGATTTAATTTCTCAGAAACAAATCTGTTACTATTACTTCTTCCACCAAGGAGGTGGAACTTGCACACTATTGCCTGAAGGAGGCGCTCAGAATGCCCACTTGCTTCCCTGGTGCACATAGAAGAGTAATCTGAAACCCCCAGCTATTGGGGAGTACTGGGCTGACTAGGGTAGCCTTTGTGTTTGTTTGGGGTGTTTTGGTTGTTTTTTGTTTGTTTGCTTGTTTGTTTCTTTTATTTTCTCTTTTGTGTTTTGCTTTGTTTTGTTTTTTTGAGACAGAGTTTATCTGTGTAACAGTCCTGGCTGTCCTAGAACTTGCTTTGTAGACCAGGCTGGCCTCAGACTCACTGAGGTCTACCTGCCTCTGCCTCCCAAGTGCTGGCATTAAGGGTGTGTGCCACCACCACCCGGCTCCGTGTTTTTATTATACATAATGTATTCCTAAACATGTGGGTAAATGTGTTGTGCATGTAAAGGATGAATAAATATAAATAAATAAAGGGTGATGTGTGATTCTAAGTAATGAGAATTCATTCTCACTTTTAGGAACGTTCTTTGATAACAGCATCCAGGTATTTCATCTGGATTCTTCCTCCTTCCTCTTTTACACACAACTACCCAGCCTGATGGTTCAGTGACAATCTCCTCAGGACTTGAGACTGACCACTCCTGACTCTGATCAGGTCCCTCCCAAGTATGCCACAGTCACAGGGCCAGGTTCCTCAAAAAGTACTCTCAGTTTTGTTTTCTATTTATTTTAAGGCAAGAATAAAATGCAATTATATATACAAACATTGCACAAACAGTGCTGTGTACACAAGATGCTAATGCCATTGGTTGGCCTTGCCATGTTATTATCAAACCTGGTCACCAGAATATATGCACAAACCTAAGTTTGGTATCCAAAAGGTGGCTTAGGATAAAACGATTTATATCAAAATCCTCAAGACAGAGGCAATAAACAACAGGAGGACAACCACATCAATGTTTTCATTTTTGTTCTTTTATGTGATAGTCTCTTATTTCTCCCAAATAAGTGACAGGAGGGTTGAGGGACTACTGAAGGCCCATTTGCAGACTGGCTACCATGTTCCAGGTTCTCTGTGAGATACTTTGTGAAAATATTCTCACAGGGTGGACTTGATCAATGATGTGTTTTATACACAACAACTCAAGAGTCCACCCGAAGTTAAACTCAGGGAGTGTTGGATGGAATGAGGTTGAAGTAGAACCTTTAATTATGAGAAAATGACCCAATGAGAATACACTGGAACAGATAAATAATAATCATAATAATATCTCTATGTGGGATTGGACAATGATTTCATGAGAAACAACCATATTGTCTGTACTTAAAAAAATACTTCTCGAGCCGGGCGATGGTGGCACACGCCTTTAATCCCAGCACTCGGGAGGCAGAGGCAGGCAGATCTCTGGGAGTTTGAGACCAGCCTGGTCTACAGAGCTAGTTCCAGGACAGGCTCCAAAGCCACAGAGAAACCCTGTCTCAAAAAACTAAAAAAAAAAAAAAAAAAAAAAAAAAAAAATACTTCTCATAATTTTTCTGTATGTATATGTGAGATTAAGGATCTGTAATTTGAAGGTAAATTTATATAACAGGATCTCAAAATTCATAGTATGGTTACAGTTCTCTATATAGATTTACAAGGCCTGATGATAACTGTATAAAGTAACAGTAGTAAGTCTGGTAGAAAATAGTTTAGCTTCTTTCTCCCACCACTTCAGGCTCCTCAAGAGAGGAAAAAAATCAAGTCCTTCTCTTTCTTTATGGCCAGAACCATAAAGGCCACAGATTTATAAGTGGGCTACCTCGTACCTCAGGCTTCTGGTTCTGGCTGTTTTCAGTGTTTTCCTGGCAATATGGCTAATTTGACAACATACTGAGGTATAAATGGCCAAACTGAAAGCAGTAGCGGGTAGTCCCCTGCCTGGGTGATATGTAAGAGGTAAACACTTCTGGAAGGCCAATGGTCAGGTATGGTTATACTTTTATATTGGGGAGGGGGTAAAAGAAAAGAGGATTGGCTCCTTAGAGACAGAAAATGCAGTGATGGGGACTGGGGAGATGGGCCAGTAGATAAAGTGCTTGGTGTTCAAGCATGAGGACCTGAGTTCAGAACCCCAACATCCACACAGATGTCAAGGGGGCACAGCAACCTGCCTGTAATTTCAGCACCAGGAGAATAGAGACAGAGGATTCCTGGAGCAAGCTGGACTAACTATATCAGTAATCTCTAGGCTCAGTTAAGGGACTCTGCCTCGGTGAAGAGATGGAGAGTGAATGCTGCAGACTTCCAACATTGCCCCTAGTCTCCACAGACATACACAGATACACATGCACACCGCACACACACACATGCACACCGCACACACACACATGCACACCGCACACATACACATGCACACCGCACACATACACATGCACACCGCACACATACACATGCACACCGCACACATACACATGCACACCGCACACACACACATGCACACCGTACACATACACATGCACACCGCACACATACACATGCACACCGCACACACACACATGTAAGGGAGGGAACCATTGACAGTGTTTTGTATGTGACCAGCCCCAGCACACACATAGAAATGTAGAACTGCTTCAAAGTTAGGCCACTTCTGCTGGAAACTCTACCACCACTTCTAGAAACTAGCAGGTGTGTAGTAATGAATCCATGTTTACTGCAGGACACTCGCTTGTTAAGTACTTTTCCGTCAACCCTGTTTGGCTCCTGCTATAGGACACGAGAGGTAAGTATTTTGATAGAGTCTTCATCCTTTTGGCAACCAAGAATGTGACACAATACACTCGGCGATGTTGAACAAGGTCCTTAGTCTCAGATTCCAACGCGCCTTAATGTCTTTGAGGGACACCCAAAGCAGCGGGGCTGCAACATCAGCAGTGATGGTGAATCTCAAGGTCCGCAGTCATGCAGAATAGTCAATGTGAAGACTTCGGCAACAGGCGGCAAACCACAAGTCTTAAAAGTCTGTAGTAGGCTTGATTCAGGAGAGGGAATCAGCGACCTCTGGGGGGAACTGGTGGAGGAGGATGGAAAGGCTCCCGGGTTAGAGGCCTGTAACGAAAAATAAAGCAACTCTTAAAAATTAACCAAATCAAAGCATTCTCGAGTATCCACAATCTGCGGCTACTTTGAAGAGCTATTAAAAAAAGACATCTCCTTTAGTTAAGGAGTCAGGACACACTACAAATGTCTGAAGGCCATAGATGTCATGGTTTCTAACCCCTGAACGTGAGAATCGCCAGCGGAGCTACTCCCAAGCCCCAGCCCTGTTCATCACAATCTCTTGAGCTCACAGTGTAGGTTAGTTAACTAAGCCTTTTATTTTCTGTTGCTTTGTCCGCTTTGGGTCTTGCTGACCCTGGAGGGACCGCATTTCTCTCAGCTAACTAATATCCCCGTCGCCTCCTTAGGACCACTATCAATGTGCCCTTATCATTCCAGGGTCAGCCTCAGACAAACAGAGATAGTCCCACTGCCTCGGCACCTCTTACAGTTATCCACACTAGTGATTCCGGGTCAATTTGACCCTGTCCTACTCACTGTTTCTCGTGGGAACCACAATGAAAAGCTCATGCCCATGTCTGACCTTTGTCCCCTCTGCCTCCTGACCATGTGTGCCAGTATGAACCCCAGTGGTGTGGTGCCCTCCCCTCCCCCTGCTCCAGAGAACCATGCATCCAGCAAACTATCTTCTGGAGAGCAGCTGTCTCCTGTTCTGTTGACCTTGGTGTACCTAAGTATCACTAGAGCCTAGATGGTAAAATGCCAGTAATTCCAATAGGCTGCCCGGGTAGAGACTCACCATCACAGTGAAGCTATCTGAAGGAGGGACAGAGAATTCCAGTACCTGCTTCTCGCTTCCTCATCGGATCGCTAAGTGTTGTCCCATTGGTACGTGTGCCCACCTAAAAGCCCCTCTTCCTGTTCTTCTGTTTGGACTTCTGTAAAGTCCTAAGTGACACTCCAGGTAGACCAGGGTGGGTCTATTTACAGATGGGTTCAGTGATTACAGATGGCATTTCTACATGTGTGCTGTAAAACCAATATTTAATCTCCAAGAAGCAAATCAATACACGCAGAAAGAGAGCTTTGTTGGGCGCTGTAATTGAACTGTGTAACCCTGGAGCTGCACGGTCCATGATTGAATGAATCTGTGAGTAAATATTTGCTAAATGCCTCCTGAGCACTGCTTCTGATCAGGTCAAGGAAACGGTGAGAGCTGGGGACGGCGGGGCTGTCTCAGGAACAAGGGAGGGAGTCAGACAGAGCCCAGACTAACCACAGATGTCCACAGGAGGCCCTGCTCTGGTCCCAGGAGTAGAAGGCTTTGTGCCTTTGCTACTGGACTGCTGGGATCTATGCAGTGAAAACAGCAGCATTGTGTCTATCTGCCTCCCAGTCTCCTGCCCTACAAACTATGGGTTAGAGGTCATACCTCTTAAGCAAGTTTAGGCCATTCCTTCCTTTCTACAAACATTTGCCACGATTCACACTGTGTGTGGCAAACAGGTAAAATGATCACGGATCTGGCTATCAAGACACTGGGTATGTGTGTATGAGACAGACAATGGGCAACGTCGGGAGACTGGACTGTCTGATAGGCACAGCTCAAACCTTAAGGAAGATCTAAGCATGGATATTTGCATACACAACTCTCTCTCTCTCCACCCCCCTATCGTGTGCGTGCGTGCGTGCATGCGTGCGTGCGTGTGTGTGTGTGTGTGTGTGTGTACACGAAAATTTCAACTTGGATGACCCTGTTTTCTCATCTGCCCAGTCAAGGTTTGTGGGCACTTAGAGATGGCATGGAAATTAGTCAGCAGCTTTATGTCTGGCCTAGAGGAGATGCTTAGAAAGCCAGAAATCTCACTGTAAGGATGAACGGTCTAGTCTTAGACACTTCCCCATCAATTTAGTTTCACTCTGATGGGCAGCTCCAGCAAAAGATCAGAAGCCCTAGCTCGGGATTTATGAAAACAGGTAGAACAGAACAGAGAAGTGGAAGGATATTGTGTCCAAATCGGGAGTGGTCTGTGCAGACTGCCGTCTTAGACACCAAGAAGCCAAAACTGGAGACATCTGCACACTCTTACTCCAGGGTGAGTTTTCACTGGCGATGAATTTGACTCAAGAACCCATCAACCCTGATGATGGCAGTGTTCTTTGAAAGCCAGGCTTAGCTGGAATGTCTTTGTGTGCCCTGTACATACCATCTAATGTAACCTTCAGGTCCCTAGAAGCTGACTGGGTTTTTTGTTTGGTTTAGTTTTGAAACAGCCTCTTATTATATAGACCAGGCCAACCTCAAAATCCTGGCAATCCTCCTGCCTCAGACACCATACCTGGCTTGATGGCTAATTGTGCAAGGGCTTAAGAAGTCCAATCCAAGCAATACCAAATACCCAATGTGTCTGTTAATATACCAGACATAGAAAAGAACAGAAAAAATATCCACTCAGAAGTAACTTCTGTGTTTGGGGAGCTAACCAATTGATTCAGCACGTGCTGTGCAAGTGCAAGGATCTGAGCTGAATCCCACCTAAAAATGTGGGCACACCATGGTGGAGTGTTTGCAATCAAAGTGACTGGGAGGCAGAGACAGAGGAACCACTGTGGCTTACTGGACAGTCAGCCTAGCCTACTCTGCAGGCTCTAGGCCAAAGAGAGACCCTGTCTAAAACATAAAAAGGAACAAGAACAAACAAGATCCCCTGAGGTCATTTTCAGATGAGCACACACCACCTCTACTCTCACAGAGTTCACTATCCACTTGAGGAGAGAAACATAAGCAATGTTTATGATGTGGGGATATAACAGACTAGAAAACCCACACTAGAGGAGTCACTCAGTGCGGGTCCATCAGCGAAGGATCCCTAGTGGAAGGATGCTTGGACTAAAGGATGCACAGAAAACGGAGGGGAATAGAAAGAGAACTTTCCAAGGAAAGTGTTTCTCCAGTACATTCCTGAGAACATCTAAATAGCGGAACATGGATGAGAACAGGAGAACAAAGTGACATACAGCTGGACAGGGACAGAGCCAGGGCACACTAAAATACCCAGAATCCAATTCTGAGGTTCTTACAGGAAATGGACCATCAGCTGCTTCTGTTCTAGAAAGTGAACCTGATTGCAGTGAGGAAAAGAGACCCCTGGGGCAGGGAGGTAAGTGTGGGCCTCAAGGATGAACCGAAGACTACCAGAGGGAAGGGGGAGCACGTCTGATTGCTGAAAGGGCGGCAGAATGGACGGTGCCCGGAGAGCCACTGGACGTGAGAGCTGTGAGGGAGGTGGGATAGATAGAGTCCAGGGTTGGGACTGGGGGAAGGGGAGAATAGTGTCTCTGCCCCAGGCTTGGAAACTCATGAGGAAGTGACTTGGGGTGGCTTGATGAGTCCAGTGCTTTATAGGCTGTGTCTGAGACACCCATGGGGCATGTGAGTTCAGGTCCCTAGTCAACAGCAGGAAGGAGAAGGTAGAGATGGAGGCACCAGGCTGTCTGCTGGCAGCATCTGAGGCTCTGTGAACAGCAAGTGAAACCAGCAGAGGAATTAGCCAAAGTTCAGGCCGTGTGGACTGAGGTAGCACCAGAGAGAGGAGAAAGTTGAGAACATGGGGTTATAGGTTCCCAGAGCAGAGCTGGGGCATGTAGCCAGACTCCCTTGTGTCTCTCAGTCTGGCAACCACTCACAATGGTCAGAGACAGCCTCACTCTGTCCACAGACTGCCTCATTTCTATCCTGAAACCTGCACGCATACTTAGAACGCAAGCACATACTTACAGATCCTACTCAAACCAAAAATTCACACAAGTCTTGAGTTCTGTTAATTACAGGTCTCCACACCGTCTGCCTGGGAAAGTGTCTCCGTCCTCTGCTCATCCTATCTATCTTTACCACCACACTTTTGCCAGCTCCCCAAACAATTCCTCTCTCGTCTCTTCTCGCGCAGTTAGACGTGTCCCAAATTCTATCTTTGCATTCCTGGAAGTTGTTTTCCCGACTCCTCTTCTTTCCTTGTCTATTAACGATAGTGACAGCAATGTCAACAACAGCAACAAAATCCTGCATAAGCCGACGGATGCAGTTTCAAGCTTGCCTCCTCCTCTCTTAGTCTAGTTAGACAAGAGGCTTCAGGGTCTCAACCTTTAGGGATTAAAAAGTCTTGGATCTCCTCCTGCCTGACACCTTGATTTTCTTGGCCAGGTGTAACATAATGACTAGAAAACCAAACCTGTCAATCCCAGCATCTCTCCATTTCCCCTGCCTCTACACCTGCAAGATGTGATAATTCCCAAACAGGCTTTGGAGAGCATTAAGTAACGCGCTTAATGTGTTTGACATAAACACTGCCACAGAGTAAGCTGTCATTAAATAATAACATTTATCGCCATAATCATACTTGCATCACTCCTGCAAAGCATCCCTGCCCCCACATGCACACACCAAATACAGAGTAGCTTTCAAACAGCGTGATACAAAGGCCTGGGTTATCACATGCACTCCTTCTGGGAGTAGGAATACCCGAATGTGTATCTCTCAGGCTGTGCCGGAGAACCATGTCGGCGATTGCAGCACAGCTCGAGGCTGTCAGATGTTCGTGTGTCACCATAGGAATGTCACTGGGAGCAGCTGTAAAGGCAGTAAATAGCAGAGGCCAAAATGGAGCGAGAGATGGCGAGGCACAGGACACCAGACAGAGGCCTTTATGTTGCACTTTCTCGCACATCCCACAGACGAACTTTTTTATATTTAAATAGGCAAAAACGGCCTCTTTCCTCATGCTTTGTATTTCAACCATCAAATCCTGGGTTTCACATCCAAGCCCTCCTTTCTGGGGAGCCCAGGGAGATGGTTCATTTGTTAAAGGCTTGCAATGCAAACATTGGGACCTGAGTTTGAATCCCAAGTACTCATATAAAAACCTAGGCATGGCCACGAGCCAGCCTTTCTGCATGGCAGCCCTACCATGTTTTCTGTTATCCCACTGACCATACAGAATGATCCTCGCAGGGCCCCCGTGTCCACTGAAGTCACTGAAGTCAGTCATAAGTAAGAGTGCAGTAAGCGAATCACACTTGTCTGGGTTCACTGTCAAAGCCCCAGATGTCTGCTCCTCTCCTGTATGATAAATCCTCATATTCTTCATGTCTCACCAACTCAACCCTTACAATCCCACGAGGAAGTTCAATTAGTAACTGTTTTATAGACAAGAATATGGAGACACACAAAAGTTAAATGACTCACCTAAGCTCACGAGTGATAGCAGAACACTAGGCCCCATGTGAGTGGCCCAGAGCCTTGCTCACCCCCAGACAAGACTATTTTTTGCTCTCATTTTCACTTCTAATATTATGTTCTGTTCCTGAGAAGCCCAGAACCCACAATAAAGCCAGGGGAATTCAATACTATGAACTGAATTCTAGACAGACAGATATGAATTACTAAAGAGCCTGGGGAGATTGATCATTTGTTAAAGTGCTAGCAATGCAAACATTAGGACCTGAGTTTGAATCCCAAGCACCCATATAAAAACCTAGGTATGGCCACATGCATCTGTAATCCTAGCGGGGGTGCAAACAGAAGGATCCTGAGTGCTTACTAACCCGCCAGTATAGCCAATGCTGAGCTCCAGGTTCAGTGAAAAAGACATTCACACACAAATATTTTCATATGCACACACATGTGAATAAAAAATTCAAATTTGTTTTAGGAGCTGGAGAGATAGCTAAGCAGCTGAGAATACTTGCTTCTCTTCTAGAGGACCCACTTGAGTGGCTCACAACCACCTGCAGCTCCAGCTCCAGGGGAACAATGTCATCTTCTGGCTTCCATGAGCACCTGTACACACATGGTGCTTCACATAGACACACATGCATACACAGAAAATGAAAAAAATAAAACCAGAAATAGAAAAGAATTATTTTAAAGGCTGATAGTTATATCCGTGCCCTTCACGTATGAACTTAAATGTTATTTAAAGGGTGAGCAACTAAACTGGGCAGGGTGGTTGATGCCCATAATCCTAACTTCCAGGAGCCTCAGGCAGGAGGATTGAGAGTTGGAGGCTAGCCTGGGTTACATAGTGAGACCTTATCTCAAAAGAAGAAGAAGAAGAATCAAGAGCAGAGGCTGGAGAGATGACTCAGCAGATTAAGAGTGGCTGCTCATCCAGAGGATCTGTGCTTGGTTCACAGCACCCCTATAGGGTGGTTCACAACTCTTGTATCTCCAGCTCCAGGGGATCCAGTGTCTTTGGCCTCTGCAGAGTCCATGTGCACATACCCACAAGCAGATACACATACCTACACACCATTTAAAGCTATATAAATAAGTCCCGCTTTAAATCAAGGATAAAAGAAGCAAACCAAACATTATGATGTATCAATATTGGCAGCAGAATAAAGTATCACTTTTTACTGAAGACAGCATGCTGAAGTGTGTTTCCACAGCTCTGTCCTCATTCTTTGGTGGTCTTAGATGCTCCCAAATCCTCTCCTCCTTCACAGTTAAGAGAGTGAGAAGAAACGTTCACATCTACTTCAACATTACCTCTGTGAAGCGGCTCGAGGAGGCACCCTGGGGGGTCTCTCAAGGGTCACAACTGGTGCTCCGTCCACTTGGGTAGGACCTGGGCTACGACTTCGAGTAATTTCAGGGACTTCATTATCCTATAGCATGCAAGATGAGAAACAAAGGTGACTATTACACAAGACGCATGAACATACATAGCTAGGCACCATGAGATAGCCCTCACCATTGTTAGGTTGTTCCCAAACAGGAGCCAGCCTAGTGCCAATGACAGTTTTCCACATCCTTCTGGTGTAGTCTAGGAACACCGTTTTACCCAGGTTATCACGAATTGCCTAAACTCAAAATTCTAGCTTCTCCAAATATGAGAGCTGTCTTATACTCGGTCTGCTAAAACCACCTGCAAGTTTACAGGAGTGCTCTCCCTAAGACCCATTCTCCTGAGTCTTCAGGGTGAGTGGTGACTCACATGACCCCTTGGGTTCAAATCAGGTCAGGACAGACACTGACACCAATTGACCAACTTGAAATGTGGCCTCCCTGAGAGCAGCTGAACCTCTCAGCTCAGGAGATGCCTGTCTGTCCGGAGACCATGCCACCACCCATGTGAAAATGCAGGAGAGGCCGGGCTACAGAGAGAGGGATGAAATCGGAGACAGAGACCCTGGACTCTGGGACATAAAGGACTATCCCATGGCTCCATACAGCACAACACAGGCTCCTGATCTAGGCACAGCACCATGCTGCCCCTGGAACCCTCAATTCAGACAACTCCTTCCTGCAGACACCCCACTTCCGGCTAAAGTAGTTTGGGTAGATTTGTCTATCTCTATCTAAGCTCCTCATTACCCTTTTCTTCCTTTATACTGAGGCAAAATTCATATAGCCATGGGGTCAACCATTACAAAACAAGATGACCTTGGCGCATTTGTAGCTTTACGGAGCCACCACCTTCTATCTAATTTCAAACCATTTTCCTCAGCTGCAAAGAAAACCCCAAAGTCATCGAACAGTTCTTCCTGTGCCCCTCACCCTCCGGCTCTGCCAGCCACCAACCCTCACGCCATCTCTCTGGATCTGCCCATTCTGCATTGTTTCAGATAACGTGTGACCTTTCGTGTGTGGCTTCCCTCCCCATGGGAGCTTTCTCTTGTGATAAAACGGCCCCCATCTCACCTCATTGTCGCCCTCCATGCCACTGCTCACGCTGAGGAGACTCCGTGTACTGGATCGGTTACTCGCGCTGCCTAAAGGGCAGAAACAGCGTCAGCTGGACTGTGGATTCTCCCAAGAGGAAACAAAAGGCGGAACTCTGGCCCTACATTACTTACAGCAATAGAAACAGTACATAAACTGCGAAGACAAGAGTCTTCAGAGTGTAGTCACCTTAAGCCGTTTCATTAGAGTTCAGTTTTTCTGTCAGCATCACACAAAATGGTCTGCTTTCTGATGGCCACTTTGGGCTTAATAGCTACCATTTACCCAGGATTTACTGCACACGGAGTGCTTTCGAAAGCATGATTGCCATTTAATCCCTCTGAAAATCCTATTTGATATTAGCACTTTGATCTGACAGGCATGGCAGCAGAGGCACTCGGGGTCTCCGTTGCTCAAAATCTGCAAGCTGGTTTTGTTCCCATGCTCTTGCTGCTTAATTAGAAATCACAGGGCAGGGGTGTGTTGTAGGACACAGATGCACCTTCGAATAAGAGATTACATGCCAACACCAAACAAAAGCCATAGCTGTGGATGTACAAGGTCCTGGGTCCAATCCCCAGAACTCCAAAACAGAAATATACAGTACAGACTCAAAAGTATAATGCATGCTCGTAGTAGGAATTCTGTGTGAAAACCTTATCAGTTAGAACTTTATTACCTGCATCATTAAAATAGCACTAGTCCATAGTACTTTCTAGAAATGTGTGTTATCCAATGTGATAGCTAGTGTGAACTCAGGTAGAACTAAGAAGATGAATTTTAAAATTTGTGTCTTGAGGTAGAATCTCATTACCTAGCCCATGGCTGGTCTGGAGTTTGCTATGTATGTAGACCAGGTTGGCCCTGAACTTGTGGCCATCCTCCTGTTTTGGTTTCCCAAATGTTGAGCTTACAAGTGTGTGTTATTGGAGGCAGACTTTTTTAAAAATATTTATTTTTATTTTATGAGTGTGTTTGTCTGCTTGCATGTCTGTGTACCATGTGCATGCCTGGTGTCCACAGAGGCCAGAGGAGGGTGTCAGGTCCCCTAAAAATGAAGTTAGAGATGGTTGTGAACTGTCGCATGGGTGCTAGGAACTGAGCCTGCATCCTCTACAGGAGTACTGAGTGCTATTAATTGAAGAACCATCTTTCCTGCCCCAGATTGAAAAACATTTTAAATTAGATTTATTCATTTTATTTTATGTGTGTTTCATCTGCATTATATGTGTATGTGTGCCTGGTGCTCTCAAGGTCAGAAGAGGGTGGAATTGGAGTTATGGATGGTTAGGAACCACCATGCGGGTGCTGGGAATTGAACCCTGGTCCTCAGGAAGAGCATCAAGTACTCAACATCACCGAGCCACCTCTCTAGACCTCAAGGCAGTTTTTTAAATCTAACCCAGGGGATTTGGTTTGTTCACTGGGAAAACATGGCCTGGCCTCTCTCTATTCGATTTACACTCATAACCCAACTTACCCACCAAAATATCATTTCTTCCTCCCCTTCAGCCAGCTGCTGCCCCAAGGTTCACACCTCCTCAGAACTCATGCTTGGAATAAGCACTACCAAAACTCTCCAGATTTCCCTACCAAAGCAATCTCTGAGCTCCTGGGTCGCCATGCCTGTATCTGGGTGTCCACATGTCAGTGATTATGTCTCTCACAGTCCCATAGCGAACCTCATAGTGCCCTGCACATTCTCCGTTAGCAAGAAGTGAAAGATGTCCCAGGCACTGGCTCCATGACTGGAAATTCACACCCGTCAACTCCACTACCCTTGGCATTCCTAAACCTGAAACCACAATGTCTGGCCCTAAACCTTAGCCCCCTGGTATTATTTCCCCTCTGGGCTCATGACTGACCCATAGTTCCCTGGGCTACACAGTTGGTAGCATTCTCTGGTCTTGGCCCCATACTCTGCTCTCATGTCAGGGGGAGGGAGACAGTGCCACATCTTGGTCACCAGGGAAGAAGGCTCAGACTAGTATCTACCTTGTGCTAGTTGTGGGCTTTCCTCTATTACAAGTCCATAAAGATACAATCTGGTTCTTTTCATCTTTCTGGAGGGAAAAAAATGGCCATACGACCCTTGGGCCAGATAATCTACAAGAATGCTGTTGAGTGTTCCACAATCAAGCTTTTGTTCCTTTAAATATAGCACTAATTACTGGGGCTTAATTACTTAGTTATAACTAGGTTTAACCTGTAACTGTCTTTCTGTAGATTCCAAGAGATAACAGCTGTGCCATCATAAAAATAATGATGCTCACAGGGTGTGACTCCAGGGTAAAGGGCTCTAGTCTGGTTTTCCCCACTCTCCATCCCTGCCAACAAACTAGCTCTACCGGAAGGTGATGCTTCCCTGGGTACTAGCACGGTTAGCTCTGGATATGATTTCTGGACCCTCTGCTCAGTTAGTTGCCAGAAGACTCAAGGCACGTTTTCCAGCCCCTAGCGGTTACCTAGAAACTACAAGCTTTACTCACTGTCTTGGATGAATGAGGTCACAGAGGGCTATACTTATCATGGGGTTGGCAAAGAGCAACTGTCTGGTAGAAGTTGGTGTCCTCATCATCTTTAATTTTAAGGCACTATACTAGTCTTTGGTGACAGCCATCACCCCCACGAGCACTCACGCCTCTGTGTGCACGCCAGACTCAGCTATCCAACTTGCTTTAGAATCAACATCAGCACATATGACAAAACCCAAAGCTCTCAAAGGCTCTTGCAGTCCTCTTGTCCTCCCTTCCCAAATTCCCTCGCCAAGTAAAAGGTTCAGGCTGTTCGGTTAAAGGCCATGTGGAGGAAGGTCTCGGAGAACAAGAGGCCATCCTGGATGCCCCAGCCGAGTGCAATCATCTGAGTGACCCTTGCTCACTAAACATGGGGAAGACACAAGTCACACCTTCTAGCTGTACCCACGTTGTGAGATCGGGTGTAAATCAATGGTTGTATTCCAAGCAACTAGGTTTTGTCATGGTTTGTTACATAGCAGAAACTAGAACAAGAACCAGCCCTGATCTGCAACCACAATGAAGAGCGTAAGGCCTTGGTCTGGCATTAAATAGCATTTCCTAGCCCCACGAGCTAGCAATTTCTAGGCAACAATTTACTTGGTCCACCTGGTCCACACTGTAGGCTGCCCCAAAGTAAAACACACAGAGAACAACTTTCCAATTACAACACTTCACACCAGGCACAACACCCCCCCCAAAAAAAAACAAAACCCCAACAGACAAAACATGCACTTTATATTTGTCTTTACGATTTTTCAACTATGGTTCCCTTTCCTATGGGAAGCAGAGGCCCCACCAGAGAAGGTTCTGGTACATCCCCCCTCTCTCATGTGCTCGAGAAAAGTGCCACTTGCCTCTAGTTTCTTCTGCAGCCTGTGATCCCTGGGGAGCTCTCTCCTGCCTCTGATAGCAGAATTCTCAGAATGCTCAAGTTGCCTTTGGCAGAAGCAATCTTTGGGTATACATTCCTGCCCCCATTATGTGTGGGGAAATTTTCTTCTTGTTCAGCCTACATTCCCAAGTCGTCACATGATAAGCTTTGGAGGTGTTTCCGCAGGTATGAGGAATATTAAGGAAAGAGGACAAGCTGACTTCTCCTGTCACCTGGCTGTTTAACCTTAAGCAAAAGAATTCCCTGTCTGGGAAAAATCTATACAGTAAGGAGTCTTGCTTGACCTGTGTCCTTGGTGAGCAAAATCGTGCATGTGTGCATGCGTAATAAGTATTTGTGGATATGTGCGCATGTGTGTGATCTGTACGTGGAGGGGTACAGACAGATAAGTTTTTCTGGGAAACAGACCCAGAATACACAGTAAATTCTCAAGGAGGCTGTGCTGTAAAAAAAAGACCACAAGAGGTCTGGGTAGTCCGTTATCCTGCATTCATCGGTGGATGCTCTGCCTGGCTTCCAAGGAGACCCGAGTCATAAGTATACTTCTGCTCTCTCATCATCTTTGCAGTTGTTTGGATACAGGGAAGCCAACATGTCAGCAAATGCTGCCCAAGATGCAGAAACAGTGTCCCCAGACGGAAGCCTGCACACCAGGCCTCGTCTGCCACAATCAGACTCCCATTCATGCTTCTTCACCAAAACAAAGATGTGTCCTAATTAGAACCTAAACCACCCGCGCAGAAGTTGGACTTCTCAAATTTGAGTCCATTGTTGTCCACAGTGCTGATGAGATGCCCTTAGCCGCCCCTTAGCACAGCTGGGGAGGAAGCAGAAGCCGCGGTGAGGAGTCCTGGCTTGGCTCCAGACGGAGTTCAAACCCCAGCCCTGCTCGGCTTTATTAGATACAACCTGGGACAAGGCCCTAAGCCTGAACACTTCCTCCTCGGCAAGAAGAGGCCATGAATCTACATCATAGAGGTTCTGTGGTCATGAAATGATCAATGAAGACAATTTACTTTTGGTAAATGCCCAATCAATATTAAGAATTATTATAAAGCAAGAGAGAAAAGCGGAAAATGAAGGGATGTGAGAAGCAGTGTGGGCTGCATCTCCCACCATCACTAGGTTCCGCTATTTATAGAAAGAAAGCACTCTAAGAATTATCACATCACTGGGCAAATGCCACAGGCCCACTAGTCTCCACACTCCACACCTCTCAAAACCAAATCAGGTCTCCGTTGAGATCTCGGGCTCCTAAGAGTGTTTGCCAAGCCGGGCTGTGGTGGTGCACACCTTTAATCCCGGTGCTCAGGAGGCAGAGGCGGGTGGATCTCTGTGAGTTCGAGGCCAGCCTGGTCTACAGAGCAAGTTCCAGGACAGCCAGGGCTACACAGAGAAATCCTGTCTTGGAAAACCAAAACCAAGCAACCAAACAAACAAAGCGTGTTTGCCAGAGCCTGCCGTGCCAGTGAGCAGGGTGGTACTGAGGCGCCTCTGGCATGCCGCTTACTTGCTGTGCTTGATGTGCTGTCGGTTTTCCAGTCTCCACGTCTCAGCTCCGTCCTCGGGGGAAACACACTCTTCCTGGGGCCGCTCTCATACACTCCAAACTCCACTTTTCCAGGCAGGTGCTGTGAATGCCGAATTGGGACTGTGATCTCCAGATCTGGAGTCAGAAGGAAGAAAGAGCTTCAGGCAGGCTGCACTGCTAAATGTCTTTCATGGCCACCTGTCTCCTGGGCCTGGGCCTGGGCCTGGGCCTGGGCCTGGGCCTGGGCCTGGGCCTGGAGGAGCGTAGGAGAGAGATCCTGGAGTCTTGTCCCACGTCAGCACTGAAAAGCCACAGAATCCAGTGTGGCCCAGAAGAAGGAAAGGATGGCAGAGCGTGAGAAATAGGCAGAAGAGCTCTTCCACCTCTGAGAGTAGAAAGAGGAGACACTTAGGAAAGGCTTGGGCTCCTAGCTCCACCATTTAGCTGTACACAGCCACCCTCTCTGAACAAGAGCCCTGTCTAAGGAAGGGATCACAAACTCCACTGATGGCAGGAAGTCATCCTGTGCACCAGCTCAAAGAGTTCCCACGGTCTTAGTCAATGGAATCCTCATAAAACCCAAGAACCTACCACCACTGTTATCGTTCCCAGAAGAAATGAAGGCACAGAAGAGGGAAGCTGCACCCCCTGTACACGGATGGAAGGCCCAAACTGGGATGTGAACCCTGGCTCTGGAGTCCAGTGGCCTCTTGCTCCCTGAATTTGTTATGGATGACAGGTGAGAGGGTATGGGACGGCCAACCGACCCTGACAACAGTGGCCCAAGGAGTGTGGGACCAAAGTCCTCCACGCAGAGAAAGGCTGACTTCTGAGACTGACTCATGGTGAAGGCACAGTCTGTACCCAGCTCAGAGCCAACCCTGGGCTCTGCTACTGGTTTGTCTTTAACCCTGCTGAGATTTCCACCCCAGGGTCCTGGGAGCATAAATAACTCAGGCCAGTGAGCAGTGTGAAACGCCTGGAGTATCAACAGCTTTCACCCCAGGGGGTGTGAGGCAGGGTGGGAGGGAAGCCACGGGAGCTGGGGAGGAAGAGGAACACAGCTTTGGGACCTGTGCTCTCCTCCAGGTACAGCTTAAGTTCACTCCTCTGTTCTTCCATGGGACAAGTGTCTAGGAAATTCAGAGGTGACTCCTTGTGCCAAAGGCAGAGACCCGCCACCGAGAAAGCTAAGGAATAAGCTAGAACAGTATGAAGGGCAGTGTGAGGGAAGGGTGGACGGGACACAGTGAACAGCCTGTGAGAACATCGTTAGTGTAGATTGCTGGTCTCCACAGGCCCTGGTCTTTCTCATGCTAGAGAAACTGGATGTAGGGGTAAACCAGGGGTCTAGTAACAGCCAGCTCCTTCGTGGAACTGGGAGGGTTTCCAGTCCCAGCCTCCCTGGTTGCACCGCAAAGGAAGCCCTTCCCATGCTCACTGCCCTGGGCGCCGAGCACTGCCAAGGCCTGTGTTCACGGGGTGAACCGTGAGTCTCGGAGCCTGCATAGATATATCATGCTTTCCTTTCCTTCTCAGCTTTTATTTACAGGAAAAAAAATCACTTTAAGACTTCTTAAGGTTTCCAGTCTGACTAATTAATTTTAAGGTGGTAATTTTCCACCCCCACAGTTCTGTAAGAAGGAAAGTAAGGCACGCAGGAAGAAAAAAAAATCAGAGATCAAAGGTTCAAAAACTCAGGCCAGGCTAGAAGTTTCTAGAACACCTGCACTCTTTGCCTGAAGGTACAAAGTCAGGAAGAGTCTTCACGATTATTGCTAGCTTTCTGAAGCACATTCGCCTGCGTTATTACTTCCTTTGTGCGTTGAGACTTTTCCGTTTAGTAGGCGGTTATAATCCTGTGAGGAAACTGAGTCACACTGGGTAAAGCAATGGCCCCACATACAGAAGTGATTCAGCAATAGCACAAGGAGCAGAACCCAGTTTCCGGGGCCTCAGCTGGCTCTGCCTCCCAGGACACACCCAGATCACAAATATTGACTGCTTTCCTGCGGGGCCACAGCATCCGACAAGCTGCGTGTTTAGAGCTGATTTCCTGTGCCATCAACTCCGTGTGCTACAAAGGGCAGAGCTGCTCCCTGGGGCTGAAGATATGAATGCAGGGTCTGTTTTCAAGGATCCTTGGTCCTTGGTGTTCCAACCCCAATTAAGGAAAAATGATAGCTATTTTCTAAAGTAACTGGAGTTTCCAAATCTTAGTTACATTCTTAGAAAAGGTCTTGCAGACGGAAGTGCCACTCATCCGCCTAGAACTAGTTACAGCCTGTACTGGAGTTAAGAATAATGGTGAGCTATCAGGCAGGTTCCGGAAACCACCTGGTCCCAGGCAAGAACAGCAAGTGTTCTTGACCCTTGATCCACCACTCCAGCCCTGCTATTTATATTCCATCGCAATAAAAATTAAAAGCAAGGATACTTTTGGACAGCTAGGCCATACATCCTCCCCAGAGGGACTCCCTGCCACCCTGAGCCGTTCTTCCGCGTCTGTTTGGATTGGACCTGGAATGTCCCCTAAAGGCCCTCGTACTAAGGGACTGGTCCCACAATGGTGCTCCTGTGAGGTGGTGGAAGCTTTCGAAGGCAGAGCCAGGGAGAGGTCTTTAGATTATTGGAGGCTGCCCTTGAAGGGGAAATGAGACCCCAGCCTCATCCCTTTTCTGTTTCTTTTCCCAGCTGGGAGACAATTTTGTTTTGCCATGCTCTTTAAAAAAAATTGATTTTGCTGAGCAGTGGTGGTACATGCCTTTGGGGGACAGAGGCAAACAGATCTCTGAATTTGAGACTAGCCTGGTCTACAGAGAGACTTCTAGGACAGCCAGGGCTACACAGAGAAACCCTGTCTCGAAAGCCATTTTTTTAATTTATTTATGAGGGGCAGAAGGTGGGTGCGTGTGCCATGCCAGTGAAGTTAAGATGACAACCTGAGAGACTTAGTTCTTTCCTCCCGTTATGTGGGTCCCGAGGATCAAACTTAGGTCACCAGACTTAGCAATAAGTGCCTTTTAGCCACTGAGTCATCTCAATGGCTCTAGGCCTTTTTTTTTTTATTTATAACTTGATTATCTCAGTTATAATAAAGGAACGTTAGCTAACACAGTTTCCAAAGATAACATGGTTTAATCTTTTCATAGTAATGTCACTAATTATAGTCACTGACAGAGAAATAGTGAAAATTATTAGCCCACCCCAAGAAAAATTCCATGAATTTTGATCCAGAAAGGGGGAATCTGGCCATGCTTCTTCACACATTGATCATTCTGGTTTAGACTATAGGTAGCAGTGGGTGGAAGCCATTATTTAGAAGCCTAATTGGCCTTGGGTGAACTTTGTGGGGCCCTGGAATGTAGCCCAGGCTGGTCTAGAACTGTGATCTTCCTGATTAAACCTTCCAAGTGCTGGGATTACAGGTGTGTGCCACTGTGCTCAGACTGAACTCAGGAAAATATTTAAAAACGTATGACTTTTGGGCTGGACAAGTCCCAGCCCAGAGCACTTACTCTGGAGGGCTTGGTTCCAGAGGACATGGGCGGCCTCTGTGGACTCCCGGGCCTGTGCTGGTCACAGGCTGCACCCATACTTCTTGACCATTGCAACAGCCCTGTTAACTTCCTGCTTTCCAGACTAAGACTATGGCTCAGGGAGGAAAAATATTTTGCCTGTAATCTCAAAGCACTATGCAGAATTCCAACTCCAAACTTGTCCAATCCCCAGTGACACCAGATGGAGCCCGGGGGAAGAAAGCTAAAAGGAGACCCAGAAGTCTCCGTTCTTGAGCTGATCCGCTGACCCCTGAGCGCATGTGAGCCCCACCATTGTACCCTCCCGGCCTTGGGACACTGGGGCCACCGACCAATCGCAGGCCAGTATGGCTTGTGTTTAAAAGCTTAACAAGTTTCACTTCCTCGGTGCACCCGTCTTTGGACACACATGCTCTACTTTTCAGAAGCACGGCAGTCCTTTGCCACCTAGAGTCCTATTTTCTGAGCCTGGGCGACTGCAGATCCCAAGCCTGACTTTCCACCCTTTCAGCTCTGTTCTTCTCTGCAGCAGGAGGGCAGATGTGAGCCTGGGATGGAGGTGGGGGATACAGTAAAAAATCCAAACTTTCAAATAGAAGTGCTCGGATAAGCTCCCTGACCCCTCTTTCTGACATGGTCAAAATTGTGAATATTCTCTAAGCCAACTGCTTTGGGAAAAACACTGTGCTAGGCATCATGGGAAAACCACGCCTGCATAAGTAAAAAGACAACTAGCTCACAAACTAGCCGATCACACACGGTAGATGGTGGGTGCTGATTCCTGGTGGCTGTGTGGAATGGCTGGTGTTAGCAGACGTTTGGATGAACCTCTCATCCCAGCACAGACGTCCTGAGCTCCATCAGGACTGTGCTGCAGACTGACACGCATGTTCCTGCCATTGTGGAGCTTATTGTAAGAGCAGGGATAGATGCTGGTCCAGGACCAGACCAGAAGACTAAGGAAATCCCGGTCCATGCTACAGGGGCAGAGGGAAAACGAGAAAGCAAAAAGCAAGGTGTAGGGGTTCACCTGAAAAAAATGGCAGAGGAGCCTCTTTGCTGGATGAACGGAGGCAGCAGTCAGAGACGAGGAGGATAGCAGCAAGCATCAGGTGCAAAGGCCTAGGGAAGACCTGTGCTTGTCTGGTAGAGCAACACGAGGGGGTTATTAATGCTCAGGCTGGGGCCCTGGGTGGGGGGGGGGGTCTGGAGCTTGTGGAGAAAGAGTACAGAGGTTATGTAATACGGGGCCTTGGAGGCCACAACAGAGAGTCTGCTTTTCCTCTAAGTGGGACAGGAACCCCTGGAGTGCTTAGAGCAGGGGGGGGGCATCCTCTGATATTTTATTTTTGGCATTATTACTGCTATTTTAAATTATGTGTCTTTGTGAGGGTAATGTGTACATGAGTACAGTTCCCCATAGCGGCCAGAAGAGGGCAACAGATCCCTTGGATTTGGAGTTACAGGTGCTTGTGAACCACTCAATATGGATGCTAGAGACCAAACTTAGATCTAAAAAAGCAACACAAATTTAACTGCTGGGCCATCCTTCTAGCCCTTAGTGATTTATTGTTTTAAAAAATAATAATTGATTAGTCTTTTGTGATAGGATGTCACTGTATAGACAAACTGGTCTCAAACTCACAGAGATCTATCTGTCTCTGTTCCATAAAACACCAGGATTAAAGTTATTTGCCATTGCGCCCAGCCATATGATCCTCTATTTATAGAAGGCACTGGCTCTAGATGGAAGGATGAACTGTAGAGGGGTGAGTGTGGACAAGGGTGGAGACAAGTGGAGAAGCTACGGCACCAGCTCCAAGAGATGGTGGTAGCTTGGCTACAGCCATAGGCATAGGGAAAATTGCCAAATTTAGACTGCACCTTGGAGCCAGAATCCTAGGAATGAATAAATAAAGTAACAGCAGTTAGGACAGAAAAGAGACATACCAGGGACAACAGGCTCTCCAGATGTACTGAGTGAGGACACAATACAAAAGCCTACAGTGGCCCCGAGCCTTCTAGGAGAAGGGGCTACTGGGAGGAGACCCCCAGTCCAGTTATGACAATGCAGGTGCAGAGGAAGAGGCCCGAGCAAGGAAACTGTAGGGGAAATGTCCAGCCTCATGAGAGGCCAACTGACGACAGCTAACATGCAAGTAGGGCTGATTTTGCTTAGTTCTGCTCATAAGAGGCTCCTACAGGAACCTTTCTTCCCTGCTCCTCTTGATAAAAGATTGGCTAGAGTAGAGCATAGAGGCCCAACCTGCAGAAGGCAGGTCCTTGCTCAGGGTGCTTGGTGACACATGGCTGGTGTCATGGGGGTTAGAAGGGGACAGAAGAGCCCATCCACAGCACACGCAATAGCACGCATGCCCTATCATTGCATATTGTCCTCAGACGCTCATGGTTGAGGTTGCCCACTCTCAGGGGAGTGCGGTTTCTCACTCTGTTGACTCCTATGCTTTCCTAATTGCCAAGCTTGGAGCCAAGGTAGAAATGATGACCGTCCTCTTCGGGTGGGAGGGGGCTCTAACCATCCATTCCCTCCTGGGCAAGCAGTCTGTCTACTCGGGCCACAGAAGAAGGGATAGTCAAGGACAGCAGCAACGGCCACCCCCAGTGAGGCAGCGCACTGGAAACCCCCAGTGATGCAGGCACTGGGTAGCCACCTACCTGAATGCTTTCCCATTTTTTGCTTCTCTCTCTGTCTTCGGGTGATGCTGTCTCTTAGTCTTTTAAGATTTTCCTGGAAAATAGTTTATTTGTTGTTTAAGTATCCAGCAGAGTGGTGCCTTTTGAACATTAGAATTCCGTTCTTATGTTATGTCCTATGCAGGGGCTAGCACGCTACAGTCACATTTCAAGATCGCCCCCGGAGAAACCCAAGTCTTTGTGCCTGTAACGTGCCTTTTTTTCCTCCAGCAGAGTGTGCTTTCAGGGGCCCAGCTCCACTCTCAGCCATAGCGAGCACCGCCCTCCTTCACCTACACCTCAGAGCCAACCCCGCCCAACGGTCCTCACAGACTTGAACTCATCCCCGCCTCTGACTGTGCTCTCTCCTCAGTCCTTGAGGGGCCCTAATTTCTATAACTCTGTCCCAGGCCTGGGCGAAGGCTTCCCCAGGTGGCCCCAGGCTCTAGTCCTGTCCAGATCAATCATGTGGCACTTGGGATACACTGCCTTGCATATAACATATGTATATGCGTGCAATATGTACCCTGTCTCTTCGGGGACACTGGACTTTCCAAAGACCAGGTCTTGTAACTTTCTATAATTCAATCATTTGGGCTGCTGTAGTGGTTCAATAAATGTTGACTGGATACACAAAGGTCAAGATTTGTTTCTATCTTAAGTTGGCCCCCAGCAACAGTGCCTGGGCATTCCAAAGAAATTAGGAATCTGAGCACACAGTAGTACCCTGGGGAAATGTCTAAACATTTTGACTGGAGCAGCAGGTGGATAGGAGGGATCCACAGGAAGCCAGACTGGGAGGGCTGGTTGGTCTGCAACTGTAGGCTAAAGACACTGAACCTTGTCCAGGAAGCATGAGGGGGACAGAGGAAGCTGTAAGATGACCATCGCAATGAAGTTCTGATGATCTAGAGGTGGAGGCAAGGAAAGCCATCTATGGACCAGGTAGCTGGCCTGAGGTAGGCAACAGGGCCAACAGAGGAACATGGCTAGGGGAATGGAAAGACACCTCAGGAGAATATGCCAAGCTGATGGTTGTAATTAGAACCAGAGGCAGACTCAAGTGTTGTCTGTACAAAGAAAGAGTTAGAGAGAACCTGGGCAGTGTCCCCACTCACAAGGGACAGGGATGAAGGAGACAGAGGAACAGACAGAAGCAAAGGGAAATAAAGTTGAGTGCCCCAGGAGCAGCCAACTCATCCCAAACAGAGGAGGTTACACGGACTTCCATCGGCTGGGGCTTTCTACTGTTGTGAACATGACAGGGAGAAGGCTGGCATTTACTCTGCACCAGGCATGTGAAGGGCTTGCCCTGCTTACACTCTCCCCATTTCCCTTCGCATTTCAGAGGTAGGGAAATGGAGGCACAGCAGGCGCCTGTCATCCAGATGCGAGTGATAGAACAGGAATGTATCCTGGGCTACCATCTCCCAAGAGAGCTTGTGTCTGCTTTGACACATGGTCATAGGACTTAGAGAGGAGGTAAAAAACAAACAAACGGAAAAAAAAACCTGTTGGACCCACACACTGAGACAATGGGGATGTTCTACTGGGAACTCACCAAGACCAGCTGGCCTGGGTCTGGAAAAGCCTGGGATAAAACCGGACTCTCTGAACATAGCAGACAATGAGGACTACTGAGAACTCAAGAACAATGGCAATGGGTTTCTGATCCTACTGCACGCACTGGCTTTGTGGGATCCTAAGCAGTTTGGATGCTCAACTTACTAGACCTGGATGGAGGTGGGGGTTCCTTGGACTTCCCACAGGACAGGGAACCCTGATTGCTTTTCGGGCTGGGGGGGGGGGGAACTTAATTGGGGGAGGGGAAGGGAAATGGGAGGCAGTGGCGGGGAAAAGACAGTAATCTTTAATAAATAAATAAATTAAAAAAAAAAAACCTGTTGGGCCAGGGTAGCTTTTGCTCAGGCGGCAGTGGTTCTAAGGTCCCTGAATGAAAGGGCCTGGAGTCCCGTGTTCAGCACTGTAGGATGCAGCCGAGACTATATAGTGAAACCTTGTCTCAAAACAACAGCAATCTTCAAGCCATAGAGATAAACCAAGAGTCTGCTGTGCACCCCAGTCTTCTCATATGAGCTCCCCCCTTGAGGGTTGTCCCTGAGACAGGGTATTTGGCATTTTACAGATCTGTGCCTTTGTATTTACAGGGTATCTAGAGAAATGCAGAGTGTGGGTGGGGGAGGGGGAGACAGACAGACAGAGAGAAAGACAGAGAGAAAGACAGAGAGACAGACAGACAGACAAATTGGTTTTAACTCAGGAGGTTTAGACTCTGACGCTTGCGGTGTTCATTTCATCATATTTCTTGGGATCTTTCCAAGTTTTCTTCATGTCCTAAAGAGTGACGATCAACTATGAGGGAGGAAAAACGGACCCTGAAGAGCAGAGAGAGCAAGCAGAGGTGAAGGCCACGTGTAGACAGCAGCAATGCAGAGGCATAATTGGGGTGTGTAGGGACATTTGTTCCTGACCTCCAGCCCTGGAAAGCTTTTAGCCAGGAGTTCCAGACAAGGACTCATAAGCACAGCCCCGACAAGAATACTCGAACAATGTTCACAGATCCAGCCATCCAGTGACGGTGACATACGTGGCAGCTGCAGCTGTCTCTTCCGCTGAACTCTGTGTGTGTGTGTGTGTGTGTGTGTGTGTGTGTGTGTGAGAGAGAGAGAGAGAGAGAGAGAGAGAGAGAGAGAGAGAGAGAGAACCCCACAGTGACAGAACTGGCTACCTGCTGGAAGCGGAAGGACTCTGATCGTTTCTTCTGGTTGAGTTGCCACTCTTTAAAGTGCAGTACGGCCTCATCCACATTGACGATGCCTAGCTTCACCTGCTCCTGCAGGGTGATGAGCTGCCGCTGGCCTGGTGTTTTCATCCCAGCAAATGGGTCATAGATGCTCGACGGGGGCCTGTCCCTCCATGGCCTCACAGGTGCCTCTGAAAAGAACGGCAGAAGTCGGCGTGAAAACTCCCACCTGGAAAAAGCAGACCTGAGAGGTGACGGTAATGATGGTGGGCACAGGCTCCAAGGAATAGTCTGCCACAGCCAGAAGAAACAATGACATGTGGAACCAAGATGGGGGTGGGGGGACATGGAATGAGGAAGGGGAAGTTGCTAATAATTTCAAAGCTATTAGAGTAAAGGAGACAGAGCCATAACACGAGAGGGAGGGGCAAAGTCTGCCGACCACACTGAACTTTGACTGTGAAGGCGTCTAATCCAGCATTTCTCCACCCAGAGACTGCTGATATTTTGGAGTAAACAACTCTTCACTGTGAGGGCCTGTTCTGTTCTGTGCATTAGAGAGCAATGAGCAGCATCTCTGGCTACCGCCTACTGGGTGACTTTCCTTGGATTTGGAGATGCAAAATGTCCCCAAATATTGCTAAATGTCTTCTATGGAAGGGAGGGCAAAATGCTCTCTATTGAGAATTAGAGCTTTAGACATAAATCCATTCCCAGAACAGATCAGTGTACAGAAAGGGTCCAGGCAGGGAACTTCTCCCAGCCCTGTCTCTGAACAATGGTTGAGGACTGATGGACACAAATGTTAATGGAACTGCCACCCAGGTCCAGTGGCACTGGTATAAATTAGGAGCTCAGTCCCAGCAGGCTGTCCTTGGGTTGTTCCATGCCAACCTCTATTTCATTATGACTGAAAGACAGTTGTCCACTTCTGAGGTCGGAAGCCAACCAGCCCCTCTCTAGGCTGTGACTCCACAGTTCCTTGGGGGAATGAACTACTTGCAGAGACGATGGGGGCACTGAGACATGGGAGGACAACATGACATCTTATGTCTCAGTTCATGTAGTGTGCTCCAGATCTCCCCTGTGACTACTGTCTTTCAGGAACACCTCTGAGTGCTTAGACACTGCTGTGGCCACTTTTCTAAAGATTCTTATGCAGGGTGGTACCGAATGCCTATGCCCAGCAGGAGACGGCTCAAGGGTTACAGGGACTTCTCGGCTCCTTTCAAACTTCCTTAACAGGTCTTTGAGAAAACTGAATGTCCTGGTTGTCATCCAACAACAAGAAAGTAACTTTAATGAGAGTTGAGTCAAAGCACAGTGGGACTAGTAAAAGACAAGAGGGCTGAGCCACAGGTGAAGGCTTGGTGCTGGGCCCACTGCCAGGCTCTTCGCATCAGCCTTAATTCTCCGGTTCTACACGGGCATTTGTGTATTAGTGCCCTCTGTGGGGTCAGTTTGTACAGTAATCTAGGGTACCGTTGTCTCTCCCCCTTCTCCTTGGCCTCCAGTAAGAGATACTCATGCAGTATTCCTGAGCTACCGGTGAGATCTCTCGACGTGACTGCCACTGCCACACACGGCCAACCTTGTTACAGGAATATTCCTGCAAGTTCAGTTCCTACGTGGGACGTTCAGGACAAGCTCTGGTTTACCTTCTCTGATGTTCTCCGAAGAAACATAGAAATTCCCAGGTCGCTCCTGACTTTTTTCTGCAAAAACTGTGAAAGAAAGAATATTCTAAGTGAAGGCAAAATGTCTCTTTCTCAGGGGCTCTGTCACACATTTATGAAACTGTATGCATTTATGAAAAATAACCTTGTGCAAAAAAGTCATAAACATCTAGTCATGACCATTGTACACATATTTCTGGAAGAAAAGAGTGAGAGAGAGCAGAGAGTGTCAAAAAGACAGGGCAGATGCACAGGTTCTCCAGATTAAAGACAAAGCCAGCCAGAGGGCATCAGCACTATGTCTCAGATTGTTAAAGGAAAGGGTAAGGCGTGGTAGTGGACGCGCATTTAATTCCAGCATTTGGGAGTCAGAGGCAGGCAGATCTCTGAGTTCGAAACCTGTGTGGTCTACATAGTGAGTTCCAGTACAGCCAGAGCTACACAGAGAAACCCTGTCTCAAAAAAAAAAAAAAAGGAGGAGGAGGAAGGTCTGGAGAAATGCTTAGGTTAGTAGAGTATTTGCTGTCCAAGCCTGAGGTCCCCAGCACCCACACACCTGCTGGGTATGGTATCCCACATCGTCAATCCCAGCACTGGAGAGGTGGAGACAAGCAGATTCCTGGAGCTTGCTGGCCAATAGCTGAATTGGTGAGCCCCAAGCTCAGTGAGAGATGCTCTCTCACAAAAATATGGTGGAACAACTGGGGAGTGCTACCCAGCATCAAACTCGGGCCTCCGGCCAAAGGCAGCGGCTCAAACACATGCACCAGCATAAACTACACACAAGGAAGGGAAGAAGGAAGGGGAGGGAGGTAAAATGCTATGGGGTGTATGCCAGGATCCCAAACAGAAGCATCTGCGAAGACCTGCCGCTAGAGAACAGAAGGAAGCGCCTACCACCGGGCAGGCCCATCTATGATAAGGCAGAACTCTATCTGGTAGAACAAGAACAAGTATGGTCATCTCATAGCTCCCTGGGATCTGAAGGAGGCTTCCCCAGCTAAAATCCCTGCTCTGCCACTCATGTGTCACGTGATCTTGGATGAGAAGCTTGACTTTCTCCATCTTCTGTTTCTTATATGTAGAATGAAGACCAGAAACAACAACTCCATTGGGTTGCCATGGGAACTAAGGGCTAGCGCATAGAAAGCGCTTAAACATCGTCGGGCACACACGATCATGCAGCCTTGGCTTTAAGTGCTTCCTAATGCAGTGTTTCATCTGACCCTCATAACCACTGTAGCAGGGTACCGTCACTTCTCATGACCATTTCTAGGTAAGGAAACCGAAGTCAAAATGGGTAAAGTGACATATCCCGTGTCCTATGATGTGCAACCAGAAGTTAGAGGTGAACCTACTCCAAGCCACTGCCCCTATTGTCACCTTGTGGCCTACGGTCCCAGCTCCACTCCCTCTCTGCAATAAGTTGCCACCTTTTTCTCCCACTTAGGAATTACCACAGTACATCTGTGGGCTCGGAAGCTGTCCCTGAGACGAGGATTTGACGGCTAGCACTCTGTCTGGGAAGTATGGTCGTTACCCTTCACTGTCCACCTGGCTAGATTTAGAGTCACCATGGAAACACACCTCTAGGTGTGTCCATGAGGGCATTTCCAGAATCCCACATCAGCAGAGGTGGGAAGATCCACCATAAACGTGGGCAGCACCATCCCACGGGCTGGTGTCCCATACTGAATAAGAAGAGAAAACAGAGCTGAGCTGGTAGACCATGTCTCTCTGCTCCCTGACCGCAGACTGCATATGACCAGCTACTTCCCATGCCTGCCGCTGCAGCTAGCGCCGTTTCACTGCTCTGTCTTCCCCACCATGATGTGCCGGCACCCCTGACCTGTGAGCAAACAGCAGCCTCTTCTTGTTAGATACTTTGTCACCGCAATGAGAAGGCAACTATGATAGGAGGTGACCGACGTGAGAGAGGAAGCGGGTGAAACAGTACAGGGTGGGCTAGCAAGCAAGGTACCACAGCCGGGTGGATGCACAGTGTGCAGTTCAGAGTCCCACAAGACGGCAAGCACACTGGGTCATTCAAGCCTTGAGCGGTGGCCATCTATAATAATTCCCCAGGGTTTTCAGCCTACCCTGAAAGACGGCAATGGAGGGCCATATGCTGGAGAACGCCCTCAGGAAAAGACACAGCAGTGTGGGGGGAGCCAGGCAGTAGGTAATATCCGGTGGATATGCTAAAGGAGACAGGCCCAAGGACACAGCAAATCTTAGCGACACAGAACGTCCACAGTTGTGGTGCAACTAACTTAGGGTTGCTAGACTAAGTGAAAGTTAAAGCCAAAGAAGGGAACTACTTGGGTCATAGATACATTAAGAAATGTATTCGCAGGGATGGAGATGGTTCAGTGGTTAAGAGCACTGACAGCTCTTCCAGAGGACCCGGGTTCAATTCCCAGCACCCACGAGGCAGCTCACAACTGTCTGTAACCCCAGTTCCAGAGGACCTGACACCCTCACACAGACACACATACATGCAGGCAAAACGCTAATTTACATGAAATAAAAATAAATAAATTCTAACAATGTATTTGCTGCTTGTCTGCAATTCAGAGTGAACCGGGCATCCTGCATTTTATCTGGCTGTCCCAAGCCAAGTTACCCAAGGCTCTTCAGGGAGATTCCTGGCCTCTTTAAGACCTCCCCATGTCTCATCTTCCACAATACATGCTATTAAAAATGGATGAGAGGTCAGGAGCAAGCACAGAGCTTGCAGTTTTGCTCACACGGAACGTAAAAGCATGTTAATATAATCAAGTCCCGAAGTGCAGCCGCAAAGCCTTCCGTATCTCACTGATGAACAATAATGAAGAAGTCACACTAAATTCTTTCCACTTTTTACTAACATCAGTAAGCAGTTAGCCTGAGATAGTAGCTCAGCATCCACTGTGGAGTCAGGGTCCCCGGGCCCAAGCCCTGGCACTGTTGTGTGGTGCCTGACCTCTTGCGCCTGCATTTCCCATCCATAAAATGGGAATCAGGGCCCTTACCTAATAGGTTATTTTAAAGATTAAATGCAAAGAATGTCCCTAATAGATTTCAACAAGTGCCAGCCATTAAAATGATTAATAGTGATTATAGAACAAGTTATGAGATAACAATGTACTAGTTTCTCATGTGCCTCTGTCCTTACAATTGCACACAAACGCTTCCAGGATGGCAGCACTGAACTGCCCCTGGCCTAACGCCAGAGTTTGTCCTCACCTATGACCTATGACCCTGGCTGGAGACCATCCAGAAGACAAGCAGTGCTGCTGACCAGGGAACCAGGAAGTTCCTACTGAGCACTATCCCTCGCCACACTTGCCGGGAACCTTGCTTCGACAGGTATACCACTTAGCAGGGTAGGGCATGGGGATTAGAAAAATAAGTAAGGAGTACAAAGACACGAGTAAAAAAAAAAATAAAACAGAAATATAGGATAGTACCGGGAGGGAGTTCCAGTGAATACTGAAATTTTGCCCGTGTTTAATTTCCATATACTTTTACACCCCAATACAAAAAGGAGAGGAAGAGGGGGCTGGAGAGTTGGTTCAATGGTTAAGAGGACTGTTTGCTCTTCCAGAGGACCTGAGTTCAATTCCCAGCAACCACATGATGGCTCACAACCATCTGTAATGAGAACTGGTGCCCTCTTCTGGCCTGCAGGGATACATGGAGGCAGAATACTGTGTACATAATAAATAAATAAAATCTTTAAAAAAAAAAAAGGAGAGGAAGGCAAAAGACTGTCTTAACATGATACAGAAGACTTCTAGAAGTTACTTGCTTCAATACTTTAGACATCAAGTCATTAATTCATAAGAAAAGCATTCTGTTGTTTCTGCAGTGAACCTACCCTAGATCAACTATCCTGAAGGCAGCCACTCCCTAGGTCAAATCTCCTAATTTAAAAGAGGGAGCAGAAGTATGTTTGAATTCTCTGACCTTCAGTCAGGGTAAAATGTATGGATCTTCTTAATATCCAAAACATCAAGTAACCACACCCTAGGACATAGTATATAGCCACACTATTGTTAACGACTTTGAACAACCTCAAACTCTCTGACCTTCAGACAAGGGGGAAATAGGCTCACAGTTTTGGGCCTCCACACACACTTGCCTTTAGAAATGTATGGCTTGTTGTCGGGCAGTGGGTGAGGGCCAGGAGCACTGGCCTCTGGCCTGGGCACGGGGACAGGAGGCCTGTTGGCCAGGTCCACAGAAAAGGTCTCATCTTCATCCACAGTGTGATAAATATCCTCCTGGTGGGCATGGTACTGCTCTCTCACCAAACTGGCTGGTTTCACGCTGTTACCTACAACACAGAGAGAGGTGATTCAATACAGTGGTCCGGGAAATTGCAGGACTGCAGGTCTAAGACCAAATGAGTGTTCTTGTTACCAAAGTAACATCCTGTGGCAGAGGCTTCCCTTGAGATGTCTCCTGCACCATTTGCTCAGAACCCATGAAAGCAATGAGGAGGGCACCAAGGTCTCCTTCATCTGCCACCCACTCAGTCCAGGACAGCAGCATGGGCTTGGCTGCTTTACTTTCACAACTACGATACTGTTGTTCACCTTAGTATAACTAAGGGAGAGAAAGCACCCCCACTCCCAGGCTTGAGCACTCCCAGAACCACTTCCTGGTGATGGGGCAACAGTGAGACAATGCCCTGGCTCCTCACCGCTGACCACTCCCTTGTGCTCCCCACAACGACTATAAAATGTGGTTCCTCCTTGCTGAGCACGGTTCTGGGTGCATTTCCTGAGTGATGACTGCATCTGGTTTACAAAAACGCTGTGGAGTTGCTGCTACCAGTAACCACAGTTTGCATATGATAAAAAAAACTGAAGCTTTGAGTATTTAAATAACTTGTCCAAAGAGCCCAGAAGCCAGCCTGGTACCCAGGGATGCTATCCCTGGAGCGACCCTTCTTTCCACTATCTGTTTCTCTCACAGCTGCACACTGTTCCCCACTAAGCAAAACCACTGAGGTCAGATGATTGCCTCCCCCTTCCTGACCACCAGCACCCTACAACCCCATGTTCTCTGTAAAGATCTGCCCTTCCTACCCACTAGCACCCCACAATCCCACGTTCTCTATAAAGTTTTGCTTCTTTGATTGACACCACTCAATCAAAACAAATCCTTCTCAAATGACTGCTTGAGATATAAAACTGGAGTTTGGGTCTCCTTCCTGTGGGGGTCACAATGCGGTGATTTACTGGGACTTCTGTGTTTCCATTACATCTTTGCTGAGCTTCAGAGAGGTCACCTTTGTTTCTTGGTGTCCTGCGTCCAGGGGACTGGCCAGGTTGGTCCCAACTAATTAGAAAACACGAGTTCAAAAAAAAAGAGGAAAAAGAAAAAGACAACACAAGTTCCTAGGCTCTGGCCTTAAGAAAAAGGTTTCTATGTGCCTGCTTATCTCAGCGTTTTGCACAAGGGGAGGACAGAACTCTGGGAAGGGCTGCAACCAAGGGAAGTATCCTGGGAGAGCTGCCAACCACCCCGCAGGGCAACAGTGGCTCTCAGAACACGTGTCTTCCACTGACTCTAAACAGTTGGCTTTGCCTCAGTTTTTTATGCCTGCTTTGGGAAGGCAGTTTCCTCTGCTCAGAATCTCCTTCATGCTACCTTGTGCCAGGCCAGGCTGGCACAGTCTCAGCCACACTGTGACCTTCCTAGAGAGGCCCCATTGACCTCCCAGTTTAAGCTGAACTGCTATTTATGCTCTCTCTGTGTTTCATTCCTTAGCTCTAGGGCCCTGCTGTGATGGGAACTTATTATATTGGTGGGTTGGGCTCCCTACCTTTCTCCCTCCCTAGTCTGTCTGCTGCAAAGGGGAGGCCCCAACCCTGGCCCCCCATATTGTCCTAGAAGCAAACACCGGGTTTCCACACTGTATGTGTTCAGTCACACCCTTAGAACAGAGCGATGGATGAACTCTGGGTAAATGTGGGCCAAGCAGAGAGCCATGTCTCAGATTTGAGCCTCCCTGTGGTGAGTCTGTCTTCCCTCCCAGTAGTCTGGGCTGGGCAGACTCTGGGGAACCCCAGCGAAAGCTCAGAGCTGCTACATTATCAGAACAAGAGGCAGCCCTGTCTTCTGCAGAAGAAGAAAGCTTCATGGCTTCAGACGGCGAGAGAGGGCAGACTTGTGCAGAAGTGGTATAAATAGAATTCCTCCCTTAGCAACATCTGTCCACAGGCGGGCATTTGTGAGGAAGGCGTTGTTGGAAAGCTGTGCATTGTTAAGGTTTTGTGACCTCCTCCCCCATCTGACAGCGCCTCCAGATAATCATAACCAATCTCTTGGCTCCTGCTGCCCAAATAGATATGATTTTCAGGGAAAATGTGCTGTCCTACCCAAGCTGCCAGGTTCCCTAGAAACAAAATATACTAGAGAATCCAAAGAGAGCCAGTTGACAGGACACGTGCTACCCACAGCCCAAGGACACCTCAGAAAACCTCGGTCTGTGCTGTTGGGTCCCTGAGAGGATGAATTCTGACCCGTATCTCAGCCTCTCCCATCATGATCCGATTGTGCCATTTAATGTCATTAACTAATGATTTAAACAGACAGCTGACATGTGCCAGACATCGCCCTGTGCCAGGCTCCACATTTCACTGGGGGCAGAGAGTTAATCCTGCCTAGAACTCTTTATAACTTACTGCTGACTGGCTGGAGGCCACACGAGTGGCATGAAGGACAGGCCTTCAGAGCGGGGCCTGGGCCACTTGTCTTTACCCTCACACCCACACCTTCCTTCTGTCCCTCACATGCGTCAGTCTGTAGCCCCCACCCCTCATTCCTCAGAGCTGCAGAAGGCTAAGAAATGCTTCCAGAATCACACCGGGTAGAAACGAGAGGCTGAGTAGAGGGACTGAGAATGAGTCCAGTTTTATCTGCGGTGTATGTGAATATCTGTGCAATATTTTGCATGAAAACAGTATTCTGGACCCATTCATAACTCCTGGAACCTATGTGAGCTCAGACCATTGAGTCACATGACACTACCAAGATCGTAAGACCTACTCCCCGAGACCCAGGGATTCTGTTCTGGAGCTTCAGGGTAGGTGTGCTCCCAAACGTGTGCAGCGATGTTACGTGCAACAAAGGCGTTCCCTGCACTGAGGCTCACGAAAGCACAGAGCTGAACACTGGCTAACATAAGCGGATGTCCCGGTGCCTGCGGAAAAGTTAGTGTTGTGCTGGCATGACATGAACTAAACATGAAAGAAGACACGGGTATCCAATATTAATATATCCAGAGAAACTCGGAGACTCTAGGGTGAGAGAGAGTGACTTTTCTCATTGCTTTAACTTTTAGGGCCAGATGTGGTGACTCACACCTGCAGGTGGGAGACAAAGGCAGGAGAACTGCCATTCACTTAAGGCTAGCCTGGATTGCATTGTGAATGCCAGAACAGACAGGTCTACATAGTCTTGTCTATTTGTGCATGTGTGTATATGTATGTGTGTATGTGTGTGCATGCTTTTTGTGTCATTTGAATTTTTATTATCTTTATGTATTACTTTTACAATAGTAAGCAACTATAGCACAGCAACAGGTGGACACAGCAGGGAATGAAAGGGGGTCCTGCTGTTAAAGATTTAAAAAACAAAAATTAGAAAGAGCTGTTTTGCAGCCAAGGCTCTCACAGTGACTCGATGGCCAAGCAGTAGCAGAGTCACCTAGAACTGGAAAGGAAGAGGACTCCTGAGTCCCATCGAGACCTCCTGAACCCCTAGACCCGCTGATTCCCACATTGGTGAGCCTGTGCCTTCGAAAGCATGCCAGGTGGATGTGGGGCACACTGAGATGTGGGAACCACTGCCAGGGAGGGGGGACGGCAAGCTCAACTCCACCGGCACGCACTAAATACCTGTGTATGTCAGGAAGTGAGAGACAATGTCCTCATCCCATTATCCTGGAGTCTTGAGCAAGTTACAGAGAGCGGCCTAACTTGAGGGAAATTTGCCCTAATCTGACCAGGACCAGTCTGCCTATGTGGATTCTCTTGATCCCTTAAACAGCACAGTGTTCCCCTGCATTCCCACGGCACCCAGCACATTTTTATATACGCTGAACTATGCTTTTCTTCCTAAAGGAGAACCTACGTGGGGTGTGTGTTTACCTCCTCTGCAGGGCAGGACTGAGTCTGTATTTGCAGACTTAAGGTTTGATGAGGGACTGCTGGGAAATGATTATTTCAATCTAGCATCACATGACATCGGGATGGCAGGAGGTTGCCATCGGCTCCTCACTCACATGCTATTCCTTTCATAAGGTGACGTGCAACCAGGGGTCGAAGGAGGCACCCCAAGCCAGGAAGGGCTTGAACTGGAGTCCCCACACTCTGCCTACTGCCTCTAGGAACTTGGAAACTCACTCTGTCCGTTCCTTTGTTACTTCTCCCGCTGAATGAAAGTAGCAGTACCTAATTTACAAGGTTGCAAGAATCATGCAATGGGTGTTGTGCATGAAGCCCTTAAACTAGGCCTGGGCACTGCTGAAGACAGCAGGGCAAGCCCGAGGCCGAATAATGAAGTCGGTCAGGAAAGCATCTCTGATCTCATCCACGGCCCTCTCGGTGCCGGGTGCTAGTTGAGGAACGTAACCAAACAGCTGATCCTCGACCGCCCAGACCTCTCTCTCAGAGTGTTAAGAGTGGGAGTCAGCGGATAATAAATGTGCCGGGCCCTGCCGCACAACACCCAATGCAACCCCCCCACCCCGCCCAAGCCTACACTAGGAGTGTACAAGCAGCCATGAATAACAGCAAATGAATGGGCATGGTGAACACTGATCAAACTGTTGGCAGGGCTTGGCAGGGGCCCAGGCTGTGATTTGCCTACAGTGCCCAAACCATTTGACCTCCGAGTCTCACGCCCTCAGCACTCTGCTTCTATAGCAACTTGACTGGCAGGCCAGCCGTAATCATAGACGACTGGGCAGAGAGACGCAATCCCTCACAGTGTAACGCCATGCGACTCTGAAAGCGCCTATAATAATAACAGCAATGATTAGAACGCTTTGTCAACTGCGTCTTCTGTGCCGGGTCTTAGGTGAACTGTATTTTCACTGAAACTTCCTTGATTCTCACCACAACCTGCCTGCTCAGTGTACCAGGCAGAACTGTCTCATTGCTGATCTGACCGCATCCATCTTGTTCTATCGCTGAGGAGATAAACACCTTGCCCGGGGCCTTCCAGATAACCGGGAGGAAAGGGAACACAGATGGGGCTACACTCTTAACTACTGCCATGCTGCCTCTGCTTGGCAAAGAGGGTGTATGTACCCACCCTTTACCAGAAAGCAAGGCTTCCGTGGAATCACATCTTATTTTGTTTTGGGTTCCCAGTCCCAATATCCAGAACAGTCCTTTCTGCACATAGTAGGTGATTATTTTTTTTTTTGTCAGATAAAAACAGACATGTAGTTTAAATAAAGTCTTCTTGGAAGTAAGTAGTTTAGTGTAATGAAAGGGTCCCAGTCATGGACCTCTGGCCTGTCTCTAACAGGCGGATGGGGAAGATCGGGGTAGGCGTGGAGGGAGGCAGAGAGCCGTTAGCCGTCATATGCCACGTATGTGCCAACCCTTGAGACTGAAGCTTCATATGGAATCAGGCAACGCTTTCTGCTTGTTTCCTATCAGCTTTCTGCTTTCCTGCTCACAGCTACAACTTACCTTCTAGGAACTTGCGGATCATTGAGTCCTTGGTGGGCCGAGAGAGGCTTTCTCTAGAGCCTGGGTTACCTGCACTGGCCTGAAGCATTTCAACATCTGGAAGGAAAAGAGACAGAGTCAATGTGCTGTTTGTTCTTCCACACAGGCGAGGAGACTCGGGTGGATTTGGAAGGTTATCCAAGGTTTACCCTTCTCCCATTCCCCACTTCTCCCTCCTTCTCTCGCTCCCTCCCTTCCTCTCACCCACCCATCCATCCATCCGTCCATCTATCCATCCATCCTTCCTTCCTAGTAAGTGTTGAGCATTAGGGAAAGGGATAAGCACAACACCCAAGCCTTTTCTTGGATCACAGGCCTCCAAAGACAGACACACTCATGTGTGTTTGAAAGACTAGGTTTAATTTTAAAAAAATACACACTGCAGTATTGCTTACTACAGTAAAAAAAAAAGGGGGGGGGACCAAAACAATGGAGAACAGACAGACCATGGTTTGTTCAAATGACAGAAGATTATGTAGCAGTTAAAAAAATAAGAATGTCTTATAGCCACTTCTACCAACAAAATTATAGCTCAAAATATAGCAGGTGATGATGTTAGATGCAGATGATTACAGTACATATAATCGAGTTGGGATTCCCTTCTGTATGCTGTGAATATGTTTTATTACCATTGGTTAATAATGAAGCTGCTTTGGCCTATGGCAGGACAGAATATAGGTAGGCGGGAAAACTAAACTGAATACAGGGAGAAAGAAAGCAGAGCCAGGGAGACACCATGTAGCTGCCAAAGGAGGAAGATGCCAGAACCTTACTGGTAAGTCACAGTCTTGTGGTGATATACAGGTTAATAAAAATGGGTTAATTTAAAATATAAGAGCTCCCATTGGACAGACAGTGTAGTAATTAATAGTTTCTGTGTGATTATTTGGGTCTGGGCAGCTGGGAAATGAAAGTGCAGTCTCTGTCTACATACAATATAGTATGACAAGGCATACATGCAGTACAGTATGACAGCTACACAGACTCTGAAGACCTACAACACAGTGACGCAAACCGCATATAAACTAGGAAATGTACAGCTAACACAGACGTGCTGGGCATGGGGTTGAATTCCTGACAGTGGCTACCTCTGACGAAGGCATGAAGGTGGTCAGACTCCGGAGACCTAACAGAGGATTGCATCCAGGATCACAACACTTAATTTTTTTAAGCCTCATACATACTATTGGAGATTCTGATATACCAAAGGAAAAAATAAGAACTCCAATCCCAGCAGAGCTCTGTGAATTCAGGTTAGCCTGGTCTATGTAATAAGTTCCAGGACAGCCAGAGCTACATAGAGAGACCCTGTCTCAAAACAAACAAATAAACAAAGAATCTAAATCTTCAGAATGACATTTTAGATAATTAATATGTTCTCGTTAAGGAGGCAACATAAAATTTTATTTTTATGTTTGCACAAATATGTATAAATTTTGTATAAACACACACACATACACACACACCCTGTTGTAAGGGGATATAAGCAGTTAAGACTCGGTGGTTTCCTGGGACCTGAGGATATGGAGATAAGCAAGGAGAAATTATCCCCTGATCCCTTGCTATATTTTAAGGCCTTCTTTCACCTATTCAAAAAATAAATGAATGTTTCAACACTGTTTATGTTAACGTATTATCACTCAAATAATAACTATTTCATAAACCAAATCTTATCAGAAAAGACAGTGTCACATTCAAATCGAAAGTTTACAAGCAATCAACAGGTCCTCTTCAAGAGTACTGAGACCAAGAAAGCCTGAAAACCATCCCAAACTGGAAGGGATGGAGAAACAGTCTGTGCCTTGCACATCATAGCTGAGTGCTCATTGCTAAGCGGAGTGCTCACCGCTAAGCTGAGTGCTCACCACTAAGCTGAATGCTCACCGCTAAGCTGAGTGTTCACCGCTAAACTGAGTGCTCACTGCTAAGCTGAGTGTTCACCGCTAAACTGAGTGTTCACCGCTAAGCTGAGTGCTCACCGCTAAGCCGAGTGCTCACTGTTAAGCCGAGTGTTCACTGTTAAGCTGATTGCTCACTGTTAAGCTGAATGCTCACTGTTAAGCCAAGTGTTCACTGTTAATCTGAGTGTTCACGGTTAAGTTGGGTGCTCACTGTTAAGCTGAGTGCTCACCACTAAGCAGAGTGCTCACCACTAAGCTGGAACACCAACTCTCAAATAAAATTCTTTCTGAGGAGAGGAATGAATGAGCAGAGGAGTAACCAGCAGAAAAGCAAGGACTCATGACGCACCAGGAGGCCACTTTCTGTCCCCTCTGCCATCAAGTAAGTTCCTTCGGAGGACAGGCTCATGTGGGTAGAATGATGGAGGTAGGACTAAATGAACAACCCATGAGAATCCAGTTTCCTTTACTTGAACGTCATGTTTTCACTGATCCTGAGGAGTCTGACTTCAGAAGCAGGAAAAGCAGGCTTTGCCAAAGGTCAGCCTTCTTGGCCTCCCTGACAGAGTTGAGCCGGTGGTTACATACAAGGTTGGGTATCAGACCACAATCCACATCCCTGTCTTATTTCCTCTACTTCTTCCCTTGTTTTTGCTTGTATGACATCACACCTACCAGCCTGGTGCCAACAAGTCTTTTATGGTGGCTCTCATCCTGTGGGTCCTGACCCCTTTGGGGGGCTGCATATTGGATATCCTGCATATCAGATATTTACATTATAATTCAGAACAGTAGCAGAATCACAGTTTTAAAGTAGAAGCAAAACAATTTTCTGGTTGGGGGTCACCACAACGTGAGGAACTGACTGTATTAAAGGGTCGCAGCATTAGGAAGGTTGAGAACCTCCTGTCTAGTAGAGCATTTGCACCCACACGATAATCTTGCTAAGCCCAGGTCAGCATCACAGTGGCAAAGAAACATGTCTTAACTCAGCAATCACGGCCTTAGGATGCCAAAACTACAGCAGGCAAGGGTAGGAGCCACCGTGGGGGGCTACCCTATACCCCTAGACTCCAGAAGTGCAGCTTCCGGGGTCCCCACAAAAGGTGCCAGAGTTATTGCCTCCAGAGACTCAGAACACAGGTCCCTCACTAGTATTCGCAGTTAGGTACAGCACCTCCCACATCCAGATCTGCGACCAATCAGGAGTCATTCTCGTCCTAGGTAATGTTGCCTAGAAACACAGTTGACATTTGGCTCTTATCGGGTTACCAGGGTAACAAAGCTAGGAAGTCAAACAAAGGTCAAATTCTCATGCAGAAAAGGAAATGAAAAGTGTTTTTATTAACTTTGGCCATCATTATCCCGGATCCACTCATTTCAATCTATTCAGCTTCCCTTTTCTTGTCTGTAAAACGATGGTAACAGCACGGCTCTCAAAGGTTTGTGGTGAGTGTCACCCGAGAAGCCTGCCAAGAGCCTGGCACAGTGCCCAGCATGTAAGAATGCTCTCTGACTACTATTTTTGTTATTAAATCCTATATCCAGGCTACAGCCCTAAGCAAAGAACAATTCAAAACAGAAGGCTCAATTTACATGTTAAGAATTTCTCAGGGCTTGGGACATAGCTCTCTAGCAAAGAGCCTGCCTAGCATGTGTAAAACTGTGGGTCTGGTCCTCAGAACCACAAAAATGATTCTCACGGCATTAAGGATTGAACTTAAGAAAAAAAAAATTAATTGACACCATGGTTTATATATCTTTATGGTGTATACATAATAATTTGGTTTTTTAAAACTTGTTTTTATTATCTTAGTTGTGAGACTTAGGCTTTAACAGCAGAGCTGTCTCTCCAGTCTATTTCTATTTGTTAAGGCTTATTTTTAAGATTTATTTTTAATTATTATCATATTACTGTTATTACTACTATTGCTACTACTACTCTCTCTCTCTCTCTCTGTGTGTGTGTGTGTGTGTGTGTGTGTGTGTGTGTGTGTGTGTGTGCCATGTATGGTGGGTACCAGAGAGGCCAGAAGAGGGCATCAGATTTCCTGGAACTGGAGTTACAGGTGACTGTGGCTGCTTGACATGGGTACTGAGAACAGAACTCAGGACCTCTGGAAGAACAACAAGAACTACTAACAGCTGAGCCACCTTGCTTCCTATTTAATTGTTCTTGTTTTAGGGTTTCATGTAGCGTGGGCTGGCCTTGAACCTACTATATAGCAGAGTATATCTTTGAATTTCTGGTCCTCCTGCTTTCTCTCCCAAGTGCTGGAATAACACGACCCTCAGACCACACAGTGATAATCTGATATATACACGGTACACATTACAGCGAAAGTCAGGTTAATTAGAAATTCCATCTCTTCAAATAATTATCATTTCTTTGTCTTGAGAATCTCTGAACTTCTTTTAGTTCTTTATAAAATATGTAATAGAGTTTTATAAACTGTAGGCACCTTACTGGACAGAACAGCGGAATTTGTGCCCCTGTAACTGCATTTTTGGTGCCCATTATCTTCTTACTGCTGTTTGTTTCATTTAGTATAATGTCCTTCATTCCCAATCATGTAGACACAAGTGACGAGTTTCTATTTTAAGGGTAAACATGACTCTCCACCGCATACATGTACCGTGCTTTCCTTATCCACTCATGCAACGATGGGCATCTCAGTCGACTCTAGGCCGCAATCATTATCAAAAGAGTTGCAATAAAAATGGGGCATCTCCTCGACAGACTGCTTCACTTCCACGGGAGATGTCAACCCAGAAGTGGGGTGGCCGGATCACGTTTAGCTTAGCCTTCCACACCCCTTTCCATAATGACTGTCCTAACGAATCTATGATTCTGCTTCTCGGAATCCTTGCTAACATATTTTGTCGATGCCTTTTTTTTTTTTTTGCCAACCATAGCCACTCTAGCTGGACTGAAATAGTACCCCATTGTGGTTTTAATTTGCATTTCCCTGGTGAGTCACGGTGAGTATTTTCATACATTTGCCAGAAATTTTCATATTTTTTAAAAGGAAAGTCTATATAGATAAATTTCTTACTAGTTTGGGTTTTTTCTGCTGAGTTGAGTTCATCATATGTTTTGGACACTAATTTTTTATTTTGATACAGGGTCTCTCCATGTACCCCTGGCTGTCCTGG